CCCTTCTTGACCCACCCTTACCCCTGCCTTACCCCCCAAGCTTTTTCTCACTAGAACCTCTCTTCTCCCAAGCTTTTGTGCAGATGGGTAAACACTCAACATAAAGTCTGATAATCACTGTCTGTTATGAAAACTACTTTATTTCTACTCTTTGTATCCTGTCTTTTCAACCACTTCTTGAGAAGATTTCTTACTTTGTATCATAATAGCTTGTGTTTTTCTTTTCTTTTTGAAGAAGCTTTAATAAGAAATCTCTTCTAAGTCCTTTTGAAAACGCAGAGTCACTCTATTATATGATAATACAAGCAAATTGATTTCATTAGAGAATTTGATTAGATTAGTTTCTTTTTTCTACCGAAATCTTGTTATTTTTTTCCTCTTATGACACACTGATTTGTATGTAAAAGTTAACTCTCCTTATCACCAGATTTCAGCAGCCCCCCAAAATCCAGCGAGATCCAGCAAGGCAAATCTCTTGTTCGCAGGACTGCCTTGACGCCTTTAAAAAATTGCCGTCATTTTTGCCACCTACTGTTTTTTAGATACAGAGCTAGTATAAGATGCGAATCCTGCAGGAAGATTAATACTTCAGTAGTTTCACGTCAGTGTGTTTAGCATGCTTGCCTTGAATAACATTTGGTCGTACTGGCTAATTGCTCTGTTTCACATGTACTCAAACCTTTTCAGTTGAACCTCTTTTGAGATGGTTCATCTGACTCATTGTATAAAATACACTTTGTGTACTTGCATCTTGTAAGAATCTTCATAATGAATGTGGGCTACCCATCTGGGTTTTTTTTGATCATACTTATTTCATTATCTCAGTCTCTTTAATTTCGATGTATTGGAAAAATATTTTTATTAATAGCCTTTCTGCATTTTGTAGAATTAGCTTCTCTGAGTTCTTTAGTCTGTCTCATTATGACTGTATGCTTCCCAGAGTTTACACTCTCTATATTGCTTATTTCTCATTATTTAGACATGATTTCTTTTTGTTGGAAGGCTAATATACATGGGAGATATTCTTTTTCTTTGTTTAACATGATAATATTTTAATCATTATAGTATTTACTGATTTTTAAATTGGAATATACTGTAAGCCTGTGCAGTGTTGTCTCTAAGCAGCTTTTCTGATCCTAGCAAGTATGCTTTTTTAACAAGAAGGGCTTTAAGTTCATTAACAGCAAGAGGAGGTCTAAAGAAAACATTGGACTGATACTTGTTGAAGATGGTCATCTGACTAATAGGGATGAAGAAAACATGAAAGCATTCAATACTTTTTTTGCCTTAGTCTTTAATAATATTGACAGATCTTGGGCTGCCTGGTCCCCTGAGTTGGAGGACCATGAGTGTGGGAACCGTGACTTTGCATTTGTGGGCACCAAAGTTGTAAGGGACCAACTGTATCAGCTGAATGTTAACAAGTCCATGGAGCCTTACGGGATTCACCTCAGAGTACTGAAGGAGCTAATGGATGTTATGGCAGGACCTCTCTGTCACTTACCAAAGATCTTGAGAGTCTAGAGAGCTTCCCGCTGACTGTAAGCTAGCCAATGTTACTCCAATTTACAAAAAGGGTGTGAGGGAAGACCAAGGGAACTACAGACCTGTTAGTCTTACCTCAGTTCCTGGAATAATTATAGAGAATATTATGCTGGGTACTATTGAAAGGCATTCAAAGAATAATGCAGCCATCAGGCACAGTCATCAACATGGGCTCACAAAAGGAAAATCCCATTTAACTGATTTCATAATACTATTTCATATCCTTCTGTGATAAGGTCACTTGCCTAGGGTGGGGTGGGAAGGTGGCAGATGCATTTTTTCTGGATTTTAGTAAGGCTTTTGATACTGTCCCTCACAGCATCCTTCTGGACATGTTGTCCAACTGTGAGCTGAGCAGGTACACAGTGCGCTGGGTGAAGAACTGGCTGAAGGGCTCAAAGGGTTGTAGCGAATGGGGCTACATCTGGCTGGTGACTGGGCACCAGCAGCATACCTCAGGGCTCAGTTCTAGGGCCTGTTCTGTTCAATGTATTTATCAACTATCTGGATGCAGGAGTTGAATGCACCATTAGCAAGTTTGCTGATAATGCTAAACTGGGAGGTGCTGTTGACTCTTTTGAGGGACAAGAGGCCTTGTTTAGATAGGTTGGAGCATTGGACAATGATTAATGGGATGAAATTTAACAAGTCCACATGCTGGATTTTGCACTGAGGATGGAGTAATGCCAGGCACAAGAATAAATTGGGAGGGGAGTAGCAGGAGAGCAGCCCTGCTAGGGGATCTAGGGGTGCTGGTTGACAGCAGGCTCAATGTGAGCCAGCAGCATGCTGTGGCAGCCAAGAGGGCAAACCATGTCCTGGGATGCACCAAACACAGCATAACCAGCTGGTCAGAAGAGGTGATTATCCTGCTGTATTCAGCATTGGTGCGGCCTCACCTGGAGTACTGTGTGTGGTTCTGGGCCTTGCAATTTCAGAAGGATGTGAAGGTACTCAACTGTGTCCAGAGGAGGGCAACAAAGCTGGTGAAAGGGCTGAAAGGAGCAGCTAAGGGCTTTAATTTTGTCTAGTTTAGAGAAAAGGAGGCTGAAGGGTGACCTCATTGCTCTCTACAGCTTCCTGAGGAGGGGAAGTGGAGAGGGAGGTGCTGATCTGTTCTCCCTGGTATCCAGTGACAGAACATGTGGGAATGGTGCAAAGCTGTGCCAGGTCAGGTTTAGACTTGACATTGGGAAGCATTTCTTCACTGAGAGGGTGGTCAAACACTGGAACCAGGCTTCCTAGAGAGGTGGTCAGTGCCCTAAGTCTGTCAGTGTTAAGAGGCATTTGGACAATGCCCTTAATAATATGCTTGAACTTTTAGTCAGGCCTGAATTGGTCAGGCAGTTGGACTAGATGATTGTTGTAGGTCCCTTCCAACTGAAATATTCTGTTCTATTCTAATAATTCTGTTTGCGGTTTCTGATTACCTTTCAAGTAACTTTCTCACTTTTAAGTTAAATGCAACTGTACCAGATTTTTTGCTTTCATTCAAATTCAGCATCTGTTAGGGAAGAAAAACAGATCACAATTAACAGAGTGACTTTCTGGACTAGAAGAAGCTTTTCCAGAGTTGTACCTTAAACCAGGTCTTGTGTGCTACAAAAGTCAAGATTTGCTTTTTACCCCTATCCCTTCTCTGACTAGCTGTATCAAAGAGCAGTCCTTTGCATTTAAACAACGAGCTTAGCATTCTACACCCAGAATTTTCATACCCCATGGAGTGAGATACAGGAAATTGCCTAAGTTTTTAACTGGAGACAATTGTACTAAAGCATATTAAATACCTAATGTATTTCCTGTGCTTTTCTTTTTCCCCTTAAGTAGATTCTGTTGTGGAACTCATGCTCTGAACTTAAATTTGTATTTCTTGCAGGAGCTCCATGATCTTATGTTTTCTCTAGATTGGATTAAAGCTAAAACAGAATTGGTAGGGCCTGCTCATCTGATTCATGAATATGTAGAATATAGTTCAGTCCTGGATCAAAAGGTATGGTACTAAAAGGTAAATGATCAGTCTGTTCCAAATATATTTTTTCATGTTTAATTGCATTTTGTTGGATGTATGTAAATATGGGAGACATGTAGAAAACTTAAAAACTAAAGCATGAAAACATTACTAAGTTAAACTTTAACTAGGAGAAGGGAAAAACGAAGAAAACTTAGTTTTCAATTTTAGTTGTAAATTCAGCGTGTGCCCAAGTAATTGACCATGAAACTCGATAACTAAGGTGAGCAATAACTAATGGTGGGTACATATGGTACTCTGGTTTTGAGGTGTAGAATTTGTTGGCCACTTGGAATAGTTTTTCTGATATTTCACATGGATTGCTTATTGAGTAAATCACTATTGCCAATATCCTTTGTTTAAAAAATGGTCCTAATATGCTTTCCTGAACAGGATAATTAAATATTTCAGTCTATCATATGTACTTGCTAATAGAAGTAAATACAAAAATAGAACTAAGTGCTTCTGTAAGAATATTAGCTGTATAGAAAATTTAAAAAGTAAAGGACACTTAGAAAATAAATCCACTTCCTACATTATCAAATATTATCTACTCTGTACATAGGATAGCACAGGACGTGAGAACTTCCAGGAATTTCTGTCCTTAAATGGGCACCTTCTGGGACGACAACCATTTCCTGACATTATACAGCTGGGTCTTTGCCAGCCAGAGACATCAGAGGTGTATCAACAAGCCAAGCTACATGCTCAAAGACAAACAGGAGCGTTTTATTTGGATTGGATGTAAGTAGCTGCAGTCCATCTCCTGATACGCTGATCCTTTGATCCCAGAAAATCATTTAATGTACAACTAAATACAATGTATGGCTAATATAAGAACCTTTTTAAGAACTGCTGTATTTTTTCTGTGGAAAGAAAGTGAACTAATTTTCAAGAACTTGTAGGAGAAGGGGAAGTCTGAATATGTACGGCCACAAATTAGTAGTAATTACATAGGAATAAATAGAGGAATATATTTACTTCTGTACTAGTTCCTTTTAAATAAGTATTCAAAGAAGAAGTAAGATGCTTTGAAGCTTTCCTAAATTTTTTTTTTTTTTTTCAGAAAGTTGGAATTGTAGTGCAAGTATTGGCTATTTGTTTGGTTTTTAGGTTTTCTAGTAAAATGTACACTTTAAAAAGGAGAGCATTTGTGTTAACTTACAAAATTTTTGAAGGTAGAGAGATGAGAAATACTTTGTAATCTCTACCCAATCTTGAAATTTCTCCTATTTAAATAATTTTTTGCTGTTTTCCTGGTTTTGGAAGTTGTTTAAGGAAAAAGCATATGTATCTAAACATTTTCCAGCATAGTCCAGTAGTCATCTGATCATGTAACCGTCTCTGTTAGATTCTACAGTTTGATGTTTCCTTTCTGATACCTGCAGTGCTTGGTGGTTAAAAACCAGAATGACTCTATGTCAGGTAATTATGATAATAACCAGGCAGATTAGTTCAGGCATACCTGAATTCAGGTCTTCTCTTTGAATATTTGGTTATGTCCTTTGACATAGCTAACAGAATTCTAACAAAAGCACTTGGAAGTTGCACAATTCAGAAGAGTCAGTCTCCAGGTAGTTCAGGGCTTTCATCATGGATGGAGGAGACTTAGGTTGAAGAACATGACTGAAATCAACACAACAGAGACTGATGTTTTTGTCTCCTATCCAAGGGCAAAGTTCTAAAAATGGTTTGTAGGATATGTAGGTGAATACACTTCTCTCTTGACCAGCAATTTCAGCTTTATTAAAATATGAAAAAAAACCCAACCAAACAATAAATGTTGGCTTAAATGAATCAGTATTCTGCAGTGAAAAACTGTCTTAGTTCAAAAGTGCAGCTACTTTGTTTGAGATGTTTTACTGATAATTTAAATTCTAAGCCTGAAGTTTGAAACTGATAATGATAAAAACTGGAAGTACATTGATTCATTGTAACAATCTGTGCATCACCAAAAATCGTCTTAGTACAGTGACAGTTTTCTGTATTAAGATCTGTCTAAACAGGATGATTATGATTGCTACTAATTCTAAGTTTTTGTTAAAGTGAGGCAAGAGTCATTAACGTGTGTTTAGATTCTCTACTTAATGTCTGATTGAAATGCAGTGATAGTCATAGATGTTATTTACATATCTAGTGATAAGAATTGAGTCATTGCTGTGAAAATTCAGTAAATTTACTAAAATCTAAACAAATCTACAAATCTTTTTGAATAAGCTTGAAAAGGAAGCTTCAGGAGAACGAGAATTCTCAGGAAGAAATTTATATTTGGAAGTAGCACATATCAGATCATAAAAACGCCAGTAGGAAGGCTGTGTCTTGCAGTGCAACAACTTTGCCCATAAAGTAGCATATTATCTTTCTTGATCTCTAAGCAATAAAAACTCTTGAGTGAAGGTTGGAATTTGTATTTCCCTTGTTACTTCAGCATAAAGGCTGAGGGCGAAGGTACAGTGTGTTGGTTGGGTGTTTTGTTATAAAACTTGCTGCTCAAGATGTATGAAAAAGTGTTATCTTTTTATAGAGGATTTTGAACAATAGAAAGGCACTAGGAAATCCTACTCATCTAAAATCAGCTGTCTTACCCTGTAGAAATAAAAAATCCTTGAAAAACCTCTACCGTCTGGTTGTTCGTCCACATAGAGATGCAGTTTACCATGCCTGCTTTTCTAAGGATACACGAAGAATAGCATCATGTGGAGCTGATAAATCACTTCAGGTAAGATATCTATGCATCAGCGAAAAGAGATGCTGTGTACCATTTTGATAATATTCGTTAACAGTCCTGTCACTTTTCTTTTGCTGTTATGTGGAGGTATTAGGGAACTAGAACATCTTGGAGACACAAGATTGAAAAGGATGTATTATTACATAAACATCAAGTTGCATGTTTAGAAGAGCGAGCGTTATCTTCTAGTTTGAAAGCTAAACTGTGACTGCAGGGTTTATACCCTCACCAGTGTAATACGTGAACGTGAGATGACTTTAATCATACTGAAAAGCTTGCAGCCTAAGTAACGCACCCCAGCATATTTAATATTTGCTTTTAACAATTATATTTCCAGTCACAGTAGACCTTCTAGAGAACTGAGAAACAGTAAGACATTTTAGTTACAGCTTTACTATTTCTGTGGAATGGTAATGGACATTAAGCTACTTTGGTTCTTAATTAGTAAATTGTCTTATGCAAAAGAAGTAAATCTGGGGAGAAAAATGAACCCCTGAAGTTGAGGACAGTATTACATTGGAAACGGGCCCAAAATGCTTGGAAGTGCATTAGAGGAGACAGAGAGGAAAGTGACTAATACAAATTTGCCAGCAGTCTGCCTGGAGGGGAGCCAGCCAGCTCTCAAGAAAACTAGCAATCAGCCAGCCAGTAACCTGGTAAAGTATCCATATTCCAGACAGCCAAAGGTAAGGGAAAAGAAAAACTTTTCTGAAGCCTTTGGTATTGTTTTGGATGCTTGATGAGTTGAGTACTAAAGTAATAATATTAGTGGTGCTTGGTTGCTGTTCATTTGGCTACTTAATGTGTTGTTATTGTGTGTTTATTTTATTTGCTGGCTTCTACAATGTTATGATCATGGCATCCACTTAGAGCTGCCTAGTGGATGTACTCGTTTTATGCTATGCTGAAGTTATTGTGCTGGGCTTCTGTACGTAATGGCCTCGTTACTGAGACTGCAGATTGCTTATTTTTCTCTTCATTTTCTACAAAAAAAAAAAAAATCTGTGGATTACGATTGCATTTAAACTAAACTTTTGTTGAGGAAGAAATAGGAAAATTAGCAATAATCCTTTTGCGTTGTTTAACTTTGAACTTATTTGTGTGCTTTCTAATAGTGGCCTAAGCTTTTCAGTTTTCAAGGCTACTTCTGCTGTTTCTGTAAAATAAAAAAATAATTATTGCTAGATTAACAGTTGCAGTATCCTGAATGCTGCTGTAAAGAACACAGTGTGATTTGTTTTAATAATTAAGAATGTGTAACCTGAGGAGGAAAGGGAGACCTGATTTCCAACCCCCCATTGTAAAGTTAAATACCAGAATTTTGGGATATCGATTAATATGTGACACTTTTCCCCAACTGTCCTTTTATTGCCTATGACTAGCTCAAGACTGAGACTTCCGTCGTTCTGTATGACTTTTCACTACTTTTTTTCTTATTTGTTCCCCAAATCACTAGTTGCTGCTGAAATTCTTACTTTCCACAGAAGGATATCAGATATTTATAAACCTGGAATTTGTAGTTCTAAGAATAGTTTAGATTTTGTTAGTAGAAACAGTGTTCTGCAGTTACTATTAAAAAGTACTGAGAAAGAACAGAGTGAGGGTACAAAAAGTGATTAATGAAACACACATTGCATACAGAAATCTTTTTTAAAATCAATTTTCACCATTTCTCTCCCTAACGATTTCTATCATCCTTACAAAATTTAAGCTGAAATTAAATATTTTTATAATTACTATGTTAATTTCCCTGAAATTATAAATGCTTTCAAAAGTAAACCAATTTTATGAAAACCTTATATAGAGAGAGCTATTTGAGAGAAAACAAACTTATATTTGTGTTTTAAAATTGCATGCGAGTGATAAAAATTTATTGCTTATTGTTTTAGGTATTTAAAGCAGAAAGTGGAGAGAGACTCTTGGAGATAAGTGCCCATGATGATGAAATACTTTGTTGTGCTTTCTCCACCGATGGTGAGTTTGTAGCAACTTGTTCAGCTGATAAAAAAGTGAAGGTAAGGAAATGAAGAGCAAACAATTTTTTTTCAAATTAATAATTCTAATTTCATTTCATTCTCTGGGCAGAGCAGATTCTTAAGGCTAAATGTTTTTTTAACTGTCTGAAATCTTACGTGGGTAATTCACAGAAAAACTCTACTTGTTACGTAACATAAAAGATGCTTAATGCTAACATAATACTTACAGAATGACCACTTATTTTACTTGTATTTTCAGATGCTTCTTTTTAAGTAGAACTTATCTGCATCCAGTCCTATCCGTAACATTAGACGAATGTATCCATAATTCTTTTTTTTCATGTTTTTCTTCTGTTTTATGTGAATTATTTGGAATTTTAAATTCTTCAATATTGTAGCAAAACCTTCGTGAAATGCCAGTATTTATCAGATTCTAATCTGAATTATGACCTTTTTTCTCATAACTTCTTGTTTCTAATTGTAAATACATATGCTTTCCCTTTATCTTCAAAATATTTTTGAGGTGGTGCTAGGAATGTTTTAGGGCTTTATCTGTATTTCAGCATAGTTTACAGCTTTTTTTTTTTTAAACGAAGTACTTTAAATGTATTTAAGAATCTCTTTCATCCTTCAATTCTGTCTAGATCTGGAATTCCAGAACAGGCCAGTGTAAATGTGTATATGAAGAACACTCGGAGCAGGTCAATTGCTGCCAGTTCAATAACAGAAGTGGTCAGTACCTTTTAGCCACCTGCTCAAATGACAGTTTCATCAAAGTAAGTGGAAAAGGTTGAGATTATTCTCATGATGCTTATCCTAACAGTATAATTATTGTTATATAAATATATTTAAACACTATAAATTAAGTTTTTCTTAATGAGCCTGGTAGAAGAGAGATGGTAGCGGATATAAGAGTACTGACTAGGGCTCTGTAATCAGATTTCGGCAAGGCAGAGCAGTAGGATTGTTTATACTCAGCGAAGGAGAATGGGAATGAGAGAGTGTGGGAGTGAAACACCTGATTAAAACCAGCATATGAAAAATGAAGGCAGAAATTTAGGATTGAAGACAATAATAATGTGAAAAAAATGGATGTGGAAAGATTGAGGAAAATAATAAAAAAAAAGGCATTATGGAAGTGTAGCAGGTACGTTTTTTGATTAAATTCATTGAACATAGTAAAGAAATGAAGGTGAAAGCCAACAAAATAACAGTAATCAAAGCAAGACGTTTGTCAGGTTAACCAGCTGGCACTGTTCAGACTGGGAGGCGGTATGTATACACCGAAGGAGCAGAAGCCAGGCAACTGAAGTCTGCATCTGAGGGATGGGGCGAAACAAGAGTCAGGTAAGACCGGGGCTGAGGCACATAAGAGTGCAATTTCACAGGACCACTAAGTGAATCATACAGTTAACTGACGCTGAAGATGACAGTCCTACTGCCCTGCCTACATATTCCTGCCTTTGTTGCAGTGCCTGTGCTGATCTTATTCTGCAGTGGTGTAGTTCAAGGAGCCAACTCTGCAAAAAACTCTGTTTAGTGGGATTGGTTTTCTGCTCATTTAGCTCCCTGTAGTGGCTCAAGTGCCCAGCTCCAGTACAAGAGAACTGTTCAGAGTAGACAGTGAGATAGTTAGTTGGGGGGGACAACTGCCTCTTCCAGCTGTAGCTAGCAGGATATGAGGCGTTTTGATTGTAACGTGAAGTCTCTTCGGAACAGTTCTTGCAAGAGCTTGTGTAAACTGGAGGTAAAATACAGTTATGATCTGATGTCAAGGTGGAAAGAAGAAGCTTTCGTGCTGACCTCCTTGATGTTTTAGGACATGTGTTTTCTGTCTGAGACTGACATCTTCAACAGGTAGATTTAGAAGGGACTTGTTTAAAACTACCATTTTGGTACTGTAAATGTGATTAACATTTTAGTGTTTAACACTTTCATGGGTAATGAATAGCAGAACTGAAGTATGTACGATAATCAAAATGTCTTGATTTTTTTTTTTTCAGACAACACCATACAAGTGGCTCTTCTTGTTTTGAGCTCTCACTTGAACACTTAAATGCATGTTTGTTTTTTTTTAATATAGGAGAAAGTGAAGAAATTTGGAAACAGAGAAAGGAAATGAGGGCTATAGGCTTGGAAAACAATGTGTTTGAGAGGGATGAGGAGGAGGATACCTAGACAAAAAAGCATGGATTGTTCTTCATCCTTTGTTAGTATGGATGTGGGAAGGATGATATTCAGACTGTCCAAGACTAACATGAGAGATTTTGTTTTTGTTATTATGTGTAAGCTACATAATTCTAAACTTGAAAGTTGAAAGGAAAAGAGGCAAGAGGAAGCTTTTCTCAGTCTGAGGATACTTTGAGTAACTTTGTGCTGTTTAAGGGCCTTATCTGCACTGTACAGAAAGTTTAACGGGTTCTATATAATTCTGATGTTAATAGCTTTCATGCAAGTTAGCAGATGGAGGTAAATTGCGGGGTAACCTGGGGCGTAGCATCAAGTCCATGAGCAGGTGGGTAAAACTAAGGAAACAAATTTGAGGTTTTGGTTGCCAGTGCATGATTTTGAGATGAACGTGAACAATATGTCTTTGAATAATTCATGAATACGATGATATTTATGTGTTTATTTCTTATGCAGCTTTGGGATTTGAACAAAAAGTATTGTAGAAACACGATGATAGGTCACGTACATTCCGTCAATCACTGTAGATTTTCACCAAATGATGAATATGTTGCTAGCTGCTCAACAGACGGAACAGTAAAGGTACACAGTGTATTTTTAAATCAACTGTTTGTTTTGATGATTGGTTGTTTTGGGTTTTTTTTTTGTATGAAATGCAAAATATGAATAAGAAAACTTTGGTGTCTGTATGGTCAGCTTTAATGAATTAAATCCTGAAACAGTTGATTATTGGTCCAATTTTTAATGCAAGATTTTGAAATTGCTTGTCCAGTATCAGGGAAAAAAGTTGTGTGTCTGTAGTTGTAAATAAATCCTAGCTAGCCTCATTTGAAATCCTTTACTTTTCACCAACTTTTGTTCCTCTCTTTTTTTCCTTTTTTTTTTTTTTCTCTGATGTATTTTAAGAAAACTGGCAGCAGGAGAGTGAAATTTGTTTTTAAAAAAAACAAAAAAGAAATAAATTTTTAGATTAAATGGAAGTTTTGTCATCTCTGAAAATGAATATGGGTATAAATAATTTCTGTGTGCTATTTTCATGTATGCACTGGAAGAGAATTAAGAGGTTTATGTTTTGTATTTCCTCAGAATGTAAGTATTCTTTTTATTGCCTTGGGTTGCAACAGAGCTATGCTATTTCAGAATTGCATTTCCTAAAACCCTGTTATCTTTCTGTAGAGTTGCTAAATCAGGAAAGAAGGATTGCTGTAGCTGTTGTCATTCAGGAGGGAAATTGTAGCGAAGGCAAATATTCAGTAGATTTTTGTCAGGTGCCTCAATGAAATTAGGGTGCAAAATTAGATGTATACCAGATTTCTTATGGTGAGTGGATTTTTAATAGAGCTGCAGAGCAGATACTGGTTTTGTTCTTATTCTTTTATTAAGACAGCGTGTTATAGCTGGCATGATATGAGGGAAAAAACCAGGGAGAGGATTCTGCAACAGTGTAATTCTCTCTTTTATTTTTTCTTTTTTATTATTTTTAATTTTGGTCTGATCTGTCTGGGCTTGTGAATATTTTTAATGCTGTTTCTTGACTGAGGAAAGTAGCAAAGGCTTTATTGTATTCTATCCCCCACCTCCCTTCTTCCCTAGAAGTGATTAGGAGTTAGCTTTCCCCTTCTGTATTCTGTATCCACATCAGTAAAAAGAGGTTTTGAGTATTACCTTTACTTTTTATTGCAGCTTTGGGAAACGCGCTCAGCAAATGAACTGAAAAGTATTGAGATAAAAGATTTCTTCAAAAATGCAGATGAGCAACCAGATGATGTGGAGGTTTTAGTAAAATGTTGCTCTTGGTCCGGAAATGGTGACAAGATTTTGGTGGTAGCGAAGAATAAGCTTTTGGTAAGTTCCTCATTTTAATAATTTTCTTCAGGTAGTACAGAATCATAGAACGGTTTGGATTGGAAGAGACCTTAAGTATCATCTAGTTAGAAATTATGATTAAAGATAAAATTCTAGGCCATTAAGATATCTCAGATACAAGATGCATGATTTCAAGTGTGCGTAAAGTAAAAATTTGTGGGCAACAAACTTGTTGACTGAGAGGAATATCTCCTAAACTCAAGAATGTGTCCTGTTGAGCATATAAGCTGTTTGTCTATAGTGAAGTCATACAGACTGGGTGCTAACTCCTGTAATTATGTGTTCACAGCTTTTTGATGTTGAAACGTGTGATTTGCTAACACAAGTCGTTGTAAGTCATCACAGTACAATCCAATACTGTGACTTTTGTCCTGGTGATGAGTTAGTAGCAGTTGCTTTGTCTCACTGCTCTGTTGAGGTAAGTGATTCTTTGCTACAGTATACCTGGAAAGGCTATTTGTAATATAAAGCGTTAGGTTTTTCTTAATAGTTTCTTGCATGCAGAGGTAAAACACATGTAGCTATTTTAGCAGGCTTTCAATGTACTTCATTCATTTTAATCTTCCTTCACTTCTGAAATGTAAAATATCGATTGGGGAATTACATTTTAAAGTTATACGTTCGTTTTGGACGACAGAACTCAAGTTTACGTAAAAAGAGCAGGCTACTAAATTTCTTTAAATTTACTGTTGTCGACCTTAAGAGTATAGGCCTTCCCGTTGCTTAACTCAAAACACCCTCCTCTTCTGTACACTCCTGAAGAGAGTGGCAACTCACTAAAAAGGAATAAAACAACTAGAATGACTCTGGGACTAGCACAGCTAGAGTAAGCCTGTACAGGTATCAGTTTTGGGGTTGGTTTTGTGGTGGTGGTGGTGGTGTTTGGTTCTTTGTTTTGTTTTATTTTTGCAATCTACATGGTCAGTTGAACTTGTGTATTTTTTTTTTAAATGACTGTTTTTTTCTTTTCTTTTTTTTTCCCCCTCGTCATTTAAAATTGCAGCTGTCGATTTAATTTCCCTGATGCAGTTTCCCTGACCATTGAAACATGATAAGCAGGCACAAATCTTATTCTGATTTTAGAATGAGAAGTAAGAAAATACTAGAAGAAATATTAATTAAGTATACTACTTGTTTTGCACTGCTTTCCCTGTAAATGCAATACAAATCCATTTGATTTCTTCTTTCGTATTTTTGTTGTAGTTATGGAATATTAAATCTTTATCAAAAGTAGCATATTGCAGAGGACACATGAGCTGGGTTCACTGTGTAGCATTTTCGCCAGATGGATCTTTATTTCTGACGTCATCTGATGACCAGACAATACGTGTAAGATAACATCTTTCTTTTTTGAAAATGTATTATTATTAATTAATTATTATTA